GAAATAAAATTTTTAATTTAAAAAATAACATTTTAAGTGGAGTCATAGCATAAATTTGCTAATTTTTTCTAATAAAATATCGATTTTCTAGCAGAAAGTATGAACAACTTTATTTCAAACTTGACAATATCATTCAATGTAATGCAAATTTTTATTTTCTTTACAAAGTTTTGAATAATAAAGTGACAGATAAGATTGCCCCATGCATTAATAATGTAATATACTTAGTTTGTTAAGAACATCACAATTACTTGCATCAATAATTGTTACCTTTGACAATAATTGTTTGAGATTTTTTTACTGGCCAAAAGCCATTCTCTGCAACACATGAATAGTCACCACTGTCACGTTTCAAAAGATATCGTATGATTAACTTTTGATTTCTATCCTCTAAACTAAACTGTTTTGATGACGATATAGATGTACTGTTTTTGAACCACGTGATATGAGGTGTTGGGATGCCTTCAAAGTGACATGATAAGTGTACAGGATTTTCTGGGTCTTTTGCAAATCGTGTTATTGCAACGTTATCGATATTTCCATGAACGAAGTAAGCTGGAACTAACAATAAAAAAATCACTTAAAACAAAGATAAAAAGTAAGTTGTCTATAAAAATCAGTGGACAGTGGGTGCTTGGGTACCCAAGTATAAAATTTTACTTTCACTTTCATGAAATGATATGGCCGACAATGTAACTATAAATATTATTATCCCTTCCATGAAACGATATTGTGTACAAAGGTAGTGCAACTATCGTTGGAATTAGCCTCCCTACTTTAATTGAGTGGGGTTTGAATTAATATTTTCATATTTAATGAACGTATGATTATGAATTTTTCGAAGATTTCGAAATAACTTCTTATCACCTACTCTGATACTGTCTCTAATGTCATACTCATATTATCTGTCAAATACGCTCATACACTTATTCCTAGTCTAGATTTTATACCTAAAATATATTCATATCTAAAAGGGTAAGAAAAACGTCCTGCAGTAACTCATCCTGTACCACTTCATCTTCAATAAGATAGTATTACAAATCTGTGAATGTTGCTGCAGGATGTTTATCACACGTAGATTTTCTTAACAGATATTATACAAACATGAAACGTATTTTTAAAATAGCATAAAAAACACCCACAAAAAATTGCAGTTTATTTAACTGTACCCTTTGTTTATATGATTCCCGAGATGTTTCGGTTTGAAAAATCTTAATTTAACATGTAGCATTACAAAGGAATCCCATAAAATTTTATTTTTATGATGTTAAAAAATCTGCTATTTTTTGAGTATGAAAGATTACTTCTTGATAAACCTATTCAATTTTTAAAAAGAAACACAAGTTGGTTTTCAAATAAATTTAGATAAAGTGGATCAAGTATGCGTAAAAGCGTGTATGTAAGTACATACATATGAGAAAAACGATTGTCATCGTTCCTACATATATTTGCGCTCCTCTTACTTCTCTTAACTTTTTTCCTGGTAACTATGATGAACGTCCTTAAGTCGAATAAATATCTCGATCACGAATGGTAGAATTGTGAAAGAATGAAACGAAAAAGAATCAACTAATGTATTCATAAAACGCAAAAAGTATTGTTTAAAGAATTTTGGAAAATTTGGAAAAAAAGATAAAAAAATGTCACAACTAATTATCATTAAAAAAAAAAACATATTAATAAT